TGCTGGGTAATCACAAGAATTTCATTGATAATATTGATAATATTGATAATATTTTACTTTTTGTAATCAATAATATTAATATATTATTATATTATCATAATAATTACAAGATGTCAAGGCAGTACACCGTTGAAAAAAAACCATTTTGAATATGCAATGTTTGATTATTGGAAATTGGCAGGTGTTGAAGCACACATGCTATGCTACCTTGAACACTTTACGGTCATTCACACACGTTCCTTGTGTACACAAGGCTAATCTGACCAAGTTTCGCTCAATGATACAATGATGCTACCAAACTCCAGGGGAGGGGCCCATGGTCCTGGAGTTTACCGAGACTGCATCAATCATCAATGACGCTTTCACTAATCTTCCCAGACCAGAGTTGGCTGCTGGCATGCTGGTCAAAAAGTCAACTGCAATGATCCCACCTCTAGGGTAAGGATGGCACTGTGATCAAGTCGCAACTCTGCTGATGAATTGGGTGCCATGTAAATATCCAGATCCATCAAAGCAACGAGAACCTGCAACTTGTTTCAAGCACAGGAGGTCGCAATTCAGAGCAGGGTTGGTGGCCCTGAAATTGCATTCAGACTCCGATGTTAAGAGGGAAGTTGTAAAATAGTGTTTGTTTTGTATAATCATTTTCCTAAACGCTCTGTTTCTCTGATACTAACTAACAAATTTATGATTTTGGGTAAGAGACTGGATTGGGTTTTTTCCCAACCAGTCCTCTGTCATGCAGGTTAAAATTATCACATGATTATATACATCTTTGTCAGTGATATGGCCAACAAGGAAAAAGTTATAAAATGGTTTGGATTTTGTTTGGTATGTTTTGTATAAATTAATCATTTTCATAAATTTTCTGCTTCTCTTTAATTTTTATTTGACCAACTGAACTTGTTATTTTAGTAAATGGGGGTAGGGTTGTTGGTGAGTAGGCATGCCACTGACAAGACAGGGGACGCCTTTGGGATATACCAGCCAAACTCATAGAAAGGGATCTTTTGTCCAGACTTAGGGTCACATGGATGTTAAGCACAGAAAATGTACACTATCAATGTATATTTTTTTCAACAAAATAAACATTTAAATAATTAATTGTTAAATATTAATACTTTTCTTTTCATAAAAATTACAGCAACCCAGGACTCAAAACTCTGAATTCAGGGAAAAACCAAAACAATGACCCAGGTTGCAACCTCCCGAATTGCAGAATTTTCAAGCTAGTCTTAACATCAACTTTTATTCTAGTGTGGCAATAACACAAAGCAATCATCACACAAGCACCAAGCTATCAGTGATCAATGTCAATATGGTGACAGCCAAGCCTGATCTGAGAAGAAGATAAGGGAAAGTTTTGTCCAAAGCCTTCCAACTTGTTCAATTGCTTCACCTGTGGAAAAAAATCCACAGTTATGAGGCGTGTGAAAGCACAACGCTTGCTTGTTTGTGGCAGGAAATTTTTATTAAATCTGACACCTGTGATCAACACCAGATTTATGAACCATAATTGATAATCATGAAGAATAATTTATTTTGTGAACCCCAGAGATCTGGGTAGACATGCATTATTAAAAGTTTCATTTTTGCATGGCCTTGGTATCATTACTACTTGGGTGATGCAATTGTTTGTTATGTCAATTATAACATCAAATGTATTGAATAAACATTGTGATTTAGTGTAGCATATGTAAAATGCATCATTCATGTTCAAGAGAAAAGTTAAAAAAGTTTTTTTTTCTATCTCTTTTTGATTCAAATAAAATATAGAAAAATAAATAATTATTTAAATAATTATTTTATAAATTGTTATTGATGAAAATAAAGTATTAAAAATATTTATTAATTGTTTACCTTCTTAAATATTTTGTTCTTTGAATGATTTCTATCCTTCTCTCTTTCTCTCATCTCAATTTTCAAAAACCTACAAAGTGAACATAAAATTATATATATATAGGGATAGGTGTATATGAAAAATAATAATAAGTATAATGGTTCTAATGAATATCAAAAAGCAATTGATTTTTTAGAAAAAGGTTGTGATTGTGGTTGCTCTTCAAGAATCCCCAAGGAACAATTTGCAGAATTAAGGGAATCCTTTCAAGCTCTTTCTAAGTCCGAACAAGACATATTTTTAATGGCCCAACTTAAAGCAATGGATGGTGGATTAACTAGTACTAGTAGATGCCTTAAAAAGAAAACTAGATCTAATAAAAGAACTTTCTATCACTGGGATCATAATACACCTCTTTGTCAAGAAACTTACCTTAATATGTTGGGAATTGGTAGGACTTATTTTGAAAATATTAGAAATCATCTAATAAACAATGGTCTTCTGCCAAGAATTCATGGCAACATTAAAAGGATGCCTCAATGGAAAACAAAAATGGTGATTGACAAAAATGTTGCAGAAGTAGTAA